TGCGAAGGACCCCTATTTCATCCTGTAGCCATTTGAACAGCCTAGCAGATGTTAAAATCTTAAAACACTTCCATAGCAGTTGATAAATATCTGCTTCCCCAAAACCTGCCCCTCACCCCCTCAGCACTCCCACTTTCCTGGCTACCTTGCCCCTGCCCTGGGACCCCCCCCCCCACAACATCCCCAAAGACTAACAGGTACACGCCTGCAGAGTTGGGGCCTCCAGCACTCGGCTGAAGTTCTATGTGCACCACTTTGATTGGTTGATGACTGCTGAAAAATGTTAATATCACTGCAGAATATTAGCTTAAGTACCTATAAATACTACCACCCCCATTTACAAATGACGAAGGAAGTTGAGGGAAGGAGGGAGTAACTTTGCCCAATGTCACACAACTGATAATGACTTCAGCCTGAGACTATTTAATTTCCAAAACCTTATCCAGTCCCCACAGAGTAGAGTCCCAGGCTCCAGGCTGGGTTCAGCACCTGTGACCTTGAGCAGGGGACTTCATCTCCTAGAGGGGCAACAGAGTGAGAATGATTCTCTGGCTTCCCTACTTCTCCAGGCATGGAAAAAGTGCTGATTTAGGGACATTTTCCTTGTCTTTTTGTTCATGGCAAATATTAAGTTCAGTGGTCAGTTTTAGTCCAGAGATCAAACTCAACTTGTTAATTATTCACAGAGTTGATGATAATTCTGCTCTTCTCTGGAAACTGTTGAACCAGTTGGAACAAGCCAGAACTACAAAGCTGGTAAAACTAACTTTTTAAAAATAACTCGTTGAGGCAGAACATAGGAATATTTTTAGAGACAGAATGTGAGCCAATGAAAGCAAAGACACAATGAGAGGAGCATGTCCTTGGGAGCCAGAGAGACTCTTATTAGTGGTGTGCTATTGGGCCAGTTATATAATAAGTAATCTGTTTTTCATCACTGGGAAAATAAGAATAAGTCCCTTGAAGACTTATTTAGAGTCGAATACAATGGGTGCAAAGCCCTGAGCTCAATGCCTAGCACCAAGAGTGAGTCAAAATATTTACTAACTTGGATTACAGGCGCCTAAAGAAACCAGTCATGGTGAATCAGCATCCCAGAGGCTCTCAGGGGGCCCCCCCGCAGGCAAGGAGTTAATGCTTCCTTACTGGATAATGGGGGCAAGGAGGCCATGTACCAAGTAGAACGGAGATCTTTTAGCTACTGTACTCATGTGTCCTGACTGAACAACAGCCTTGGCTGGCAGTAAAAGAAAGTGCTCACCTACCGTTCAGTCTAGCCTTCATTATGTGAGAAAGAGGGAAGGGGTAGAGCTAATGATTCGGGGGTGGTTTTTCCCAATGGCACCCGAGGGGTAAAGGGAAGGTTGAAGCCCTTCTCTCTTTCACTTCCCACTCTTACTTCCCACTCACTCCCCAGACACAACAGCTAATAGCAGATTCTTATATCTTTTCCCAGAAATTAATCAATTAGCCTTCTTCCTTCCTTCCACACAAATGGAATTATAATATAATAATGGATAATATTTATCACATACTTGCTATGTGCCTGGGAAGATTTTAAGCATCTTGTATGGACTATATGCCATGTAACCCTCATGACAACTCTGTGAAAAAGGTCCTGCTTTTATTTTCATATTTTAGATAGGAAAACAGGCCCAGAGGGGTTAAATCACTTGCCTAAAGTCACACAATACTTAGGGATGGGAAGAGAACCCAGGAGGTTAAAAAAAAAATCTATCTTATTCTGTTTTGTGCCTGAATAGTATCTATGGGAATGAACCGTAGTTTGTGTGACTTATTGTTGGATATGGAAGTCGTCCAAATCTGTTCTAACAATCACACGGGCATCAAACAAGTTTGTATATGTATCTTTGATGTCTGAACTCTTAATCGATGTCTGCTTTGTGCCATGCACTCTGGGACACTCTTTATATGTATTTGTCATTTAGTGCCCACAACTACTCCATGAAATTAGGAATTCTCCCCTTTGCAGGTAACGGACATTGAGACTCCGAACAGTTAAGTAACTTCCCCAAGGCCCCAAAGTTCATGATTGGCAGAAAGTGGAATTGAACTCAGGCTCTGAGTTCAGGACCTGTAACATGACTGTTACTATGGAATATACATGGATGTATATGTATGGATGGCTGTGTGTGAAAATGCCCATGAGGAATTCACATGTCTACAAGAATATTCTCCTCTTAATACCATTGTCCTTTTATAGTTTTTCATGTACTAATTTCACTGAGACTCCATTTTCATGGAGTTAATAATACCTACTGCTATGGACTGAATTGTGCTCCCCAAAATTCATATGTTGAAGCCCTAACCCCCAGTGTGATGGTGTCTGGAGGTTGGGCGTTTAAGAGGTAATTAGGTTTATGGGGCGCCCAGGTGGCTCCGTTGATTAAGCGTCTGACTCTTGATTTCTGCTCAGGTCATGGTCTCACAGTTCGTGAGTTCAAGCCCCACGTTGGGCTCTGTGCTGACAGCATGGAGCCTGCTTGGGATTCTCTGTCTCTCCCTCTCTCTCTCTCTCTCTCTCTCTCTCTCTCTGCCCCTCCCTGCTATGCTCTCTCTCTCTCTCTCTCAAAATAAACATTAAAAAAAAGAGGCAATTAAGTTTAGATGAGGTCATGATGAGATGAGTGTCCTTATAAAAAGAGACACTGGAGACCCTGCTTCCTGTCTCCACCATGTGAGCATACAGCAAGAAGGTAGAGTCCTTGCAGAGACCCGACCACACTGGCACCCTGATCTTGGACTTCCAGCTTTCAGAACTGTAAGAAGTTTCTGTTGTTTAAGCCACCCAGTCTGCGGTATTTTGATATGGTAGCCAGAATAACCTAACTTATGAAATTGTTTTAAAATTAATACAAACAACTATGGAGTTATCCTATGCCTGGCATTGTTCTCAGAGCATCGCACGTACATTAGTTTCCTAGGGCTTCCATAACAAAATGCCACAAACTAGGTGGATTAAAACAATGGAAATTCATTGTTTCACAGTTTTGAAGGTTAGAAGGTCCAAATTCAAGATGTTGACAGGACCAAACTCCTTTTGAAAGTCTCTGAGGGATGTTCTTCCTTGCCTTTTCCTAGTTTCTGGAAGCCACAGGCATCCCTTGGCTTACGGTAGCATAACTCCAATCTCCACCTCTGTTGTGACATGGCATTCTCCCCCACGTGTCTGTGTCGTCACTTAGTTACCTTTTTATAAGGACACTGGTCATATTGGGGGAAGAGCCTGCCTTACTCACGTCTTACTGTCATCTTAACTAATCACATCTACAATGTCTCCATTTCCAAATAAAATCCCATTCTGGGATATTGAGGGTTAGGACTTCAGCATATCTTTTTTGGAGACAACAATTCAACCTATCGTAATACATATTTTCTCATTCAATCTTCATAACAACCCAATGAAGCAGATATTAGTATTATTCCCATTTTATAGATGAGGACATTGAGGCTCAGAGAGGTCACATAACTTGTCCAAAGTCACATAGCAATTAAACAAGTGCATGTGCTTATGCTTCGTGGACAGAATAGACACTCGGGAAAAACTGTGGGTTTGCTTTATTTTGAAATGCCTCCCAAATAGCAAAAACCTTTAGACTAATATCCCTCATCAAGATAAATGCAAAAATTCTTCACAAAACATAAGCAAATCAAATGCAGGCATATATAAAAAAGGATAACACATCATGACCAAGTGGAATGGAATATATCAGTGATAACTGATTTAAGTCTTTGCCTAGTGAGTCCAGTGTCTTGAGCTTTCTCAGGGACAGTTTCTGTAAACTATTTTTTTTCCCTGTGTATGGGCCATACTTTCCTATTTCATTTCATGTCTTGTATTTGTTGCTATTGTTACTGAAAACTGGACATTTAAAATAATATGGCGTGTCAGTTCTGAAACTCAGATTCCTTCTCTTCTCTGAGCTTTGTTATTGTTGCCACTGTTTGCTAATTTAGTGACATTCCTGGACTATTTGTGTAAAATATGTATTCTATGTCATGTGTAACTTACTGAAGTTTCTATTCATTTAGCCTAGTGGTTAACTGATGACTGGACAAGAGGTTTCCATAAAATTACTCAAACTAATAATCTTCCAGCCTTGTTAAGGTGTGTGTGTGTGTGTGTGTGTGTGTGTGTGTGTGTGTGTAGAGTTATGTTTTCAGTGCTCTGGCAGGCAATTTACAACTCTAGTTTGTAGTCAACTCCTTGCTCACACAGAGACTCAAGATAACCAGAGGTGAGAGTAGGACTTTCTCAAGGCTTTCCTGGGCACACCCAACAGTCCTGAATATGCACATGGGCTTCTAGACTCCCGGGAATATGCTGGAGCTTTTCAAAGATGCCTATGATATCTCATTACCCAGTTTTGCTTTTCTTTTTAATACTTTTGGTTTGCCACTTGTTAGCTCCAACTGTTAACACATCCTCAGGCAGCTGTGATATTAAACAATTGCCACTGATTATATTTGACAAATACTCTGTGGGTGGGGCTCCTCAGAAAGCACGCTCTGATTAGATCAGATAAAGGCATTCTTGAAAGTGGAGCTTTTCCGTGAACTGCCAGACAGATCACATGGCGACAGTTTCTAGGAATGGGACTTCCTAGAAGCTCCAAAGCCATTTTGCTTTCTTCAGTAGCTGCTAATCTGCTATTTTTCACAGCTACTGTAATTGTGAGGCTATTGGCTTCCGGTGCTACTGAAGTGCTGGGGAGAGGGTGATGGGCTTAAGTCCCGTTAAAATGCCACGATACTCCCTGTCCTTGTTGAGATTCGGCCATTTTTCTTGAGTAAATGATGCTGGGGTTGTTGCAAGCCACTGGTGATTTTTCAGTTACGAAACAGTTAATTTTGACAGTTTTCACTAGGGTTCTCATTGCCGTTATGGAGAAGTGGGTTTCAGAGGTCCTCAATCAACCATTTCAGAACAACCAGCTGTATATCCACTTTCTATAGTTACGTAACAAATTAGCACAAACTTGGAGGCTAAACCAACACCCATTTATTATGTCATAGTTTTCATAGGTCAGAAGTTTTGGCACAGAACAACTGGATTTTCCGCTCAGGGTCTTATGAGGCTAAAATCAACGTGTTGGCTGGACTGAGTTCTTTCTGAGTCTGGGCTCTCCTTTCATCCTCCTTGAGGTTGTTGGTAGATTTTGAGTTTTGGTTGCAGTACTGAGGTCCCTGTTTCTTCGCTGGCTGACAGTCCATTCATCTCCTCAAGGCCACCTTCAGGTCCTAACATGGCCTAGAAATTTACTTTCTTTGAAGCCAGCAGGAAAAGCCTCTCCTTGGTCTGTTAAGATAGAGACTTAAGCTACATAGTCTAATCATGGGAGTGACTAGCCTATCATATTCACAGGACATACTCACACTCAAGGAGGAGGGATAATATAAGGTACATACACCAGGGGATGGGATTCTTGGGGGCTATCTTAGAATTTTGCCTACCATAGTCTTAATTGTAGGGTTTTGTGTAGCACTGTTTTATATAAATCATACCTATAAATTAACCTAATGTAATCATCACAGCAGTTCTTTGAGATAGCAAAGAAAGTGTTCCAAAACGCATTTCAGAGATGGGAACTTAAAGGCTCAGAGAGACCATATGACTTTCTCATGGGCGTACAACTAATGAGAGGCAGATTAAATCCTCTGATTCCTGTAGAACACCCGCTGTCCTTCTGCACACCTGTCCGCCATGTTAAAGCTCAGGCCTTTCTAAGTTTTGTTTGTCACGCGGCAGTAAGGATGTTAGTATCTGAGGCCCCTTAAAGGAACTTTGTTCCCGGCACAGTCTCCCCCGGGCTCCTGCATCTCCTGCCTGTGTATCTGGGGAGAATACTTGAGCATGGAAAATAGTATTAACCAGGAGTTTTGATAAAATGGAGTTTTCAGGGGTGAATTGCAATTTAAATAGCTGAGAAATTCCATTTACTCCCAGCAATGTATTCTGAATGCTCCCTCCGGCCCAGCTCTAAAGGAGCAGACAGTCATCTCCCGCAGAAAGTAATGGAATTTTTATTTTTGTCTTAGAAGTGCCTTGAAATCAGCAATCTCAAGGCTGGCAACGGGGCCTTCCTTGAAGGCCTCATCACAAAGAATAGCAGAAGGTTCTGAAGGTAGTCAGCCATGGACCAAACTCATTCTCACTTCACTTCAGTTGAATGGTTTTGCAAGTGGTAGAGGAAATTAACCATTTAGGACCAGCTTTCCCACCTCCCTCTACTTAATCTCCTTATTCAGCGTGTCCAATCATCTAAAAGATAGCGGGTTTTCTTTAGTTCCAATTCGATCTTTTTAATGATGCTGCGGCTTTCCATTGTAATGCAAATGGACACTTGTGGCCCTCATCAATCAGTCCTTCAAATGTTCGAGGACAGTGGAGCTGGAATGTTGGTTCCCTTTCCAGATTCCCTTTACTTGGTCCCCACACAAATTCCCCTACTGCTGTGAGAAGGTATCTCTCGTCTTTCCCCACTGCCTCAAAGCGGCAATGACTAAGCAGGTGTGTTTCATGCTCCAGAGCTCCCTTTTTGATCAGGTGAAGGCTGGATCCTGCCGAGACCAGAGACCACATCCTTGCTTAGAATCCTCCTCTGCCCACCCTGCTCTCTGCATTTCTTCTCTCTCCAGGGCCTTCTGCAGGCATTGAATCTACATTCACCCAAATCACCGTTGCAAGGGCTGCTTTGATGTCACTGACCTAAGGCAGATAGTAACGAAATTCTGCTGGATCTTTCCTCTAAGTCCAAAATAATATCATAGCCAGGAATTAAAGGTCTTGCTATAAAAAACCATTGGCTAGTCCCCCTTGTCCTTACGAATGTGGAGGTCATTTACCTTTCAGCGTCAATTACCTTCAATGTAACCACAGACCTAGAAAAGGCTTATGAGTAACAGATCTAGATATTGTAAGATAAAAGGCAACCTGTACCTTCGTCATTAAAAACAAAGTGCAGGTGTTGGGGCGCCTGGATGGCTCAGTCGGTTGAGTGTCCTACTTCTGCTCAGGTCACGATCTCATGGTTGGTGAGTTCGAGCCCCACTTCGGGCTCTCTGTTGTCAGCTCGAAGCCCGCTTCTGGGTCCTCTTTACCCCCTCCCTTTGACCCTCCTCTGCTGGTGCTCTCTCTTTCTCTCAAAATAAATAAACATTAAAAAAGAAAGAAAGAAAGTGCAGGCTTTGATGTCTGACAGATATACATTTGTATACCTGGGTAAGCTGGTGACCTTTCCCATTCTCTGGGTCCCGTCTGTCATGCAGGGCTCACCCCATCCATCTCACAGTGTTGCTGGAAAGACAAATGGAACAATTCGTTAAATGAGTTAGTACAAATCAGAGCTTCAAAAACCAAGAAATTTTTTTTTTTAACATTAAGGTCTGTGTGTGACAGGAAGCATGCTATTTTAGGCCGGGTACAGGCCAACTTCTGTTTCAAAGCTGAGGCTCAGAGAAGATCCTTTTACTTACACATGAAAACAAAAACTCACCAGCTCCAAGAGAAACAAAAATGAACTTTGATGTTCTGCCTCACCACACTGAGTTCCATTCGGAGAGGAAGGGGGTGGATTGCTAGAACCGGAGGAGAACACGGGCTGCGGTTGTCCAGGCATGGTGCGGTGGGCGTGGGCAGTAAGATGGGGTAGGCATTGTCCCGGAAGTCTGCTGAACCCAAGGAGCTGGGGTGGCCGTGTTTAAACACAGGAGGGGTGGCCAACGTGGAAGGTGACGTATATCCTCATTGGTTAAACCTGGGGAGCGAGAGCTCTGTCGATGTCTATACTCTCTGTCATCTTACGTAAGTTGGAAATATTTAAAAATAAAATGTAAAATTGGGGCACCTGGGTGGCTCAGTCGGTTGAGCGTCCGACTTAGGCTCAGGTCATGATCTCGCGGTTCGTGAGTTCGAGTCCCACGTCGGGCTCTGTGCTGACAGCTCAGAGCCTGGAGCCTGCTTCGGATTCTGTGTCTCTCTCTCTGCCCCTCCCCTGCTTGTGCTCTTTCTTTCTCAAAAATAAATAAATAAACATTTAAAAAAATAGATGAATAAAACGTAAAATAAGAGTACAGGTAACAACGGGCTGAATGAGAATGATTAAACCCACGTTGTGAAATGAACCAGGCATGGTATAATTTACCGTACCCTAAACTCAAATTAATGCTTACCCACCATATGTTTGCATCAGTGAATTTATATACATGTGTGTGTTTATCTCTATGTATTTTTCACATAACACATATAACCACACATGAGTTTAACTGAATCTTCTTACCTGGCATCGGCCCCGGGGTAGTAAATGAGCAAATTCTTGGATCCCGTGTCTCGTTTACAAATGCCTGCTTCTCCCAGATTCCAGGACAGCCCTGTGCCCTCCCCCCTTCTCCCCCTTTGTCCTTTCCGGTTCTCTACATCTCTGAGCTGACACCAGAAGTCTTTTCATTAAACCTGTGAATCTAAAACTGTGTCCTGGCTTAGAAAGCATTCCTCATTTCTTTAAAACCATTATTGCTATTTAATTTCCTTTCTTCGGTTACCAGTGAAGTTGAACATCTGTTCTGCTCTTCGTCAGTCATTCCCAGCCCCGCCCTGCCCCAGAGCCAGTGTGGTCCCTGATCTGCTCTCAGGAGTCCTGGGGGGTGGAAGGGGAGGGAGCCTGGAGGTGCTAGACAGGGAGGAAGATGTGGTAGGGGGATTTGGGGAGGTATGAGAACTGAGGTAGGTCGTTCCTGATTCCGTTTGTCAGCTCTTCCCTTAGCATTTGTTCATCTCTAGGGCTAAAATCTCCTTGCAACATTTCCCTTTATTCCTCCAGGACCTATCATCCCCAGGGTAATTTATTTTAACTAGTACTTCGTTCTCAATTATCCTACCAACAGAAATTCCAACCAGAAGCCAAGAACTTCAAAGCTGGACTCCCGCCCTCTTTTGGAGCAAGCAGCAGCATCTCAGGCAAAGTGAAGGGAGTGGCTTCAGTCTTGTTCCTGGGAGAAGACATGCCCTTCAGGTTAGTCACAGTCAAGGCGAGTTTCATGGAGAGGCTCCTGATGTCACGTGTGGGTATAAGGAAACCCTGAGGGCCAGTACCAGGGCTGATAAGAACAAGGTTCCTTTGCATCCCCAGGTCCAAGGGAAAGAGGGGCAGAGTGGCATATCGAACAGAAACAGAGAGGGCCTGACCAGTATGGAGAAAGCTGCCTGACATGAGACAGACCCAAAGAGGAAGGAGGTGGCCGTCTCCAGGTGTGACTCAGAATAAACACCCCACCTCACATTCCTCCCTCTTCTGCTGGTGTTGATAATTAGCCAAAGCCTACAAGAAGCCGAATGGCAAGAGAACCCATTGATGAGTTCCTCCAGACGGCCTCCTGGGGCACAGAGAAGAATGGAGAGAGGATCTGGGCCAGTCACTTGCACACGCCCAGCACAAAGGCCACGGGGACCACATGTCATCGAGTGTTCATACGGCAATCTAAGACTTTTTCAATTAAATGGCAAAGTAGCGTACAACGATAATTACTTTGCTCTGATAATTCAGTCACTACTTTGAGTCACCCTGTAAGGGATTTATTATTATTAACTCCCCAGAAACCAAGGCAGACAGCGATTAATTACTGCTCCAATATAGCTAGAAAGACTTCTGAGAAAAAGTTTGTAAGATGCCTCTGTTCAGTCCTTGCTTATAACCACTACACTCTACAAACTTATTCTACCCTCTCCTTGGGCACTTTCTCAGAGCCAGAGGCTTCTTCAACACCCTAAGGAGCCTTTATGACCTGGTTCCTTGACTTCCCCTCCTCTCCAAAAGTTGTCTGAGTCACTGGTCACAGGATTCAGAAACCGGGTCCAGGCGCTAACAGGCAAGACCGGACCCGGTGAAGGCCCGCGGTTGAGCAGCTCGTGGTGGACAGACAGGGCCACAGAACAGTGACCAGGGAACCAGCAGAAAGGAACATAGAGACCAGATGCAGACTTTCACCTGGAGCCTGAAGGTCAGGCCCAGAGGAAAAGCGATAAGGAACATAAAGGTTATACATGAGGTTGGCACCATTCCTCAAGAAATGGGTGAAAGAGGAGAGTGACACATTGCTTTAGTGCAACCACGGCAGCCACGATTTGTATAGTGCTTTAGTGGTTAAGACAGATTCCCAAATATTTCAGCAGCCGATAGTTTCCTTTACTAGACTGTGGGCTTCCTGAGGATGGTGGCTTGTCATTTTGGTGTCCCTACAACCCAGCAAGGCATCTGACACTTAGTAGCTACCACCCGCAAATCCATTTGTTAAATCAGTCTTTGGAAACAGAGCAAATAATGGAACCCTGAGGGTTTTGGTAGCCAATGACATCAGGAACATCATTCTGGTGCTATTGATCTTTGAGTGAAGTGAGAGTCCCTGGGGAGGCCATCGAGTCTTTGGGAGCCTGAGTGTGCTCACACATGAAAGGACAACTAAACGTCCCTACATTTGCAGGATTTCTGGGAAGTTGTACACACACACACACACACACACACACACACGCACACGCGCACACTCAATACTGTTTTTGCATCTGGCAAGGTAACCATGATGATATGATGACAGTGACCGTGATAACGAGGACGCAACCTCCCTTGGGGAAACGTTTCGCTACCTCCATTATTTGAACGAATTTGCTTCCAGACAGTCCCGTCTAAACAACAAACAGGTCTTAAGCTTCCCACTTGAGAAAAAAGCCGACGAAGAAAGCTGTGCAGGTAGCAAGGTGACCTGTTATTAAATCAACACAACGGAGCAGGCTTCTCACCCCACGTGTAAGGGTTACGAAGGAAGGTTTAAAAGCCGCCCCTCCTCGTCCTCTCTGAGGTAAAAGCTCTTGCTGCAGGGGTTTGATGAGCCTTCCTAAGGCCGGGGTGACACCAGGTCACGAGATGGTGCTTAAGTAGTTCGTCTCTGGGTTAGTTGTGATTTTTTTTTTCTTTATCTTTGTTTTGTTTTGTTTTTCCAGTCAGCTTTCTCAGCCTGTAAAAGTTCGAGTCTTTTTGCCTCCATCATTCTCACCACGAGAGTCTCATACCTTGCTCTCGTTCCCATGCTTCCCACCCCTCATTCCACCAAAAGCAGTGTGTTTAGTGGTAATATCGGTGAAGACAGCATTTAACAGACAAAATGGCGGACCGACTCCCCCTGGCTCTCTGTATCAGCTCCCTCGCGGACACCCACCTGAGGTCTGACAAGGAGGGACTCTCTCTACAGGGACTCTCCCTATCTGTGTTCACTGTGTTTCTAACATGAGCTCATCAGTCTCCTCTGCAACCTGGGTGCTGGAGGAGGAGAGAGGAGGCAGGAATGAGGGGCCATAAAATACGAGGCATTTGGCAGCTTTCTTTCAAGGTGTTATTAGCTAAACATTAAAACAAAATGTTCTCATTAAATTCAGCAGCTGAGGATGTTACTTGGTTCCTGTGCATTATGGCGATCCATATAACATGAATCACAGTCAGGAATGCAAGCTGGACTTGAAGCAAACTTCCCTGAAATGTGTAGCACTGGTAAACATTGCTGTTTGCTGCATGAAAGTGCCTGGGGAAGGCTCAGCCGAGGACTTCCCATAGGGCACATTTCAGTAGCATTGATCCAAGTGACCTTGTCCTCTCTTCTCCTGCACTACTTGGAAGGGGAACCATGTTGGATTCATCGATCCTCTGGTTCTCTCCCACTTGAATGAGTGCAGGAATCTCAGCCTGGAGTTCACTGATGTGCAAAGATCTATACATAGTGTTCATGAACCTTCTGATACTTAGACCAATTTTGTATCTCTGTCTTCCATGGGCTTCTCTTTCTGAGAAAAATTTCCAAGTCTTTCAGGAGAATCCCATGGTTGTGCACATCCTCCAAAACATTAAGAACCACTAACATGGAGGGTTAGTTGAAACATTCTGTAAACTGTACAAAGTATATTTTAGGCAAAAAAGAGAGGGGAAGAAACTCCCTTTTTCCTTGGCTTACAGGAGTCTTACTCTTGTCGCAAGACCCATGCACAGAGACGGTGGTGGGCATGGCGAAGGAGTAGTGGGAGTTGAAGCTCAGTTGTAGCCCCTACTCGGAAACCAGCTGGCTTTCTGAATCTGCGTGGTCTCCAAAATACTAGCCATGAAGTGGTTAAAGATGGGCACTCACCCTCCGTGCCTGCCACACGGGTACAGCCAGGAAGGGATATGTTGATTACACAGAAGCTTTGATGGCTTTTGTGTATTGCCACAAATATGCTCTTACAAGAACAGACACTCGACATTCGCTGAGTGTGCAAAACCACGGAGTGAGTCTTCTCAAAGTCTCAAGGTCTGTGTCCTACATGTGAATTTTGACGAATTTCTTAATGAGCCTGCGTTCCGTCACCTGTTCAACCCAGGCAAGCCTGCTCACCTAACTCGCCTTTAAAGGATGTAATAGTTAAATGGTAGAGTTAGTGAATTACTAAAGGGAGGTGAAAAAGAAGCCGAAAAGAACATAGACACCTAGGTATTCTATTCTTAACGGAAATAATTTGAGTGTTCTGAAAGGGCAACCAGGTCCAAAAAGCAGGACAGGCTGCTTCCAGGAGGAAACTGGGATCCCCTAAAAACAGATCCCTGGAGCAAAGCTCACTGTGGGCAACCAGTCTTCTACATTAACTGTTGGGATGTGACTACTTCGTGTGTTGTTCACTTGCACTGTAACATATACACTGGAATCTTAATACTGTTGCTTTTCACAAGTATGCACTGTTCCAGGCACGACTTCATGTCATTTCACTTATTTTTGACAAATACTCTGCACGGTAAATACAATAGGTTTGTTGGAAATAGGTTGGACCTGGTTGATAGTGTCAGGAAATAGCTTTCTTTTTCTCCCTATGGCCTTCACACTCATTTGCCTCTTCCTTCCCCTGATGGCATATTGGGGACAGTCTATAGCTTCCTGGTCACTTGTAAGTATTAAAATGTCCAGTCCAATTGAAATCAAAATTTAATCTCATATCCAGTTCAGAGCTTCTCCCTTCTGCCCGGCTCAGGTGTATCCAGATGCTAAGGTACCAGAAAAGACATAGAGCCTTTGATCTGTTCTTCAACAATCTTTGCTCCACGTCTTACCTGACTCGCCTAATTGCCGATGGATATTCCAAAGTTAGAGTAGTAAGAAGGATGAGAGATCTCGTGGCGGATGCTGTTCTTGGTGTCCTTTTAGCTGTTGAAGGCCCTACAAATAGTAGGATCCAAATGGTGGCTTTCATTAGAGACCCTGACTTGGCAAGGCACTCTACTAACCTCTTGTGACTTCTCTCAGTGTCTGTACCTCGTGGTACCCCAGTCCATTTGAGCAGATAAGTTAAGCTGGCTGCTTTCCATAGCATTCACCTGGCCCTAGTAAAATGCTTACATACCTGCTTTGCCATCGTGGGCAGCTTTCACGAGCCCCAGCCCCGACCTTCTCCAGGCAAGCACTAGGCACCAGTCTCTTAGCAACCAATGCCAACAGAACATATTTGAAGATCTCCCAAGAATTCCACTATGCTCCAAGACTGGACAGCTTGGGACCAGTCCCTGCATCTCCACGTCCTACAAGCATCCGGCCTGCCCTCTTCCAATGAATCCTCTCTCCAAGATCAGTTATCCTAGATGTCCTCATCTTGTTGTGCGTGAATGGAAGCAATGCCATACCCAATACTACTAGGCTCCTTGGAAGAATTCATTTTCTCTAAGGAAGCTTCTAGCCTTCCTATAAACAAGCTATTGGGAATGTTGATTTGGATACAGACCAGGCATTCTTGTGGAGAGGGGTCGAGGTCCTGTCTTTAGGACACACGGCTACTTACCTTTGTCCCCATCTTTGAGGTTTCAGCCAAAACTTCGTCTTAGTAAACGTTGGCTATTATCCTTTTACCCACAAGGAACTGAACTGCAAAGAAATTTGTTGCCAAATGCCAGTAGTCACTCAACTTGTGAGAGCAGAAATCAGATCTGAACCCTGATCTGTCCTTCTCCCTGCTCAGTCTTCCCTGTACTCCAAAGTTGCTAGAAGTTGCCTAGGACCAAGAAGAAGAGATTACACTTAATCCTATTTTACAGATGAGCCAACAAAGTCTCCAGAAATTTAAGAGTCCACCTTGTAGACTAGTCAAAGTCCATCTTGTGGTCGAGTCAAAGTTCCAGCAGGAAACAGGTGGCTCACACAAAGGAAGCAGCTCGAAAACAGTTTAATAATCATTTAGAAAGATGTGGGCAGCATTAGGAAGCCACAGGAGATAGTGCAGTTTTTCGGGACTAGTTAGCAGCAGGGCTATTACCCTCGGGACGAAAAGGAGGAGGGAAGGAGAAAACGGTCTTGAGGGCCACTTTGAGAGGAGCAGAGAGCTCAGGTTGTAGGAGACAGCAGGTCCTAAGTCATGGCTCAGGAAGGAAGCCAGCCTGCCTGCCTCTACTCTCTGTCTCCAAGCTCCTCTGGGAGTCAAACCCAGTAAGGAGCCAGCAGGCACTACCTGTGCCTGTTAAAGCTGTCCCTATATATGGGTCTCCCAGAGCCATGAGCAAGGGGATTTGGGGTGGAGAGTGGATCTGACCCACTCAGCCAGTAATGGCGGAGCTGAGGTTTGAAACCGTGTCTGCCTACCCCAACCCCTATGTCACATTTGGTTGCCTCTGCCTTTATTTCATGACGCACTTGTGACAATTTGACTGCAGTGGAAATCCTCTCGGGGCAGGGACTTTTTCTTACTGTGTTTATAATTGCTGCCATCCTGAGCACACACAGATATTCAGTAAGAGTTTGTTGACAGCATTAATGGGTGGAGGGGCAGGTTACAGATAAGCTTGAAACACATGAGGACAGTATGAGCAAACGGAGAGAAATGCTAAGCATTGCAGGAACTTAGTGTATAGGCATTTATGTGAGACAGTGTAAACAAAGTTATGTATACATACGATTTCACATGACTTAGTTCGTAGACATTGTCTCTTTTGAAGATCACCTCAGCTCTTGGATTATCATCCCTCGACGAATCACACAAGCTTATCTGTGTAATGACTATAGCTGATAGGGATATGTGCTCAGGTCACCTCATAAAATCAGCACTCTTTCCAGTACCTCCCAAATTGAGTATAACATGGTGAGATAACAACATAATCATGGTTTGTTCTCAGTCTCTGTCTCTGTCTGTCTGTATGTTTGTCTTTCTTGTTTTTCCTCCTGCCATTGACTCCTTGAAGAAATCAAGCTATCTGTCTTTTACGATGTCCCACATTCTGAATGTGTGTTTCTTTCCTTAGAGTTTTATGTAACTTGTTATTCTTTCTCATGCCCCTTTCCTATAAATGAGCCCTTGAGGATTGATTTGATTCAGATTCAGAATCAGATTTTTGTTTTGTTTTGTTTTTGGCAAGAATACTTCATGAGTGGCGCTTTGTGTGTGTCTCATACTACAGCACATCAAGCTAGACACAAAGTCCGACTACTCCACCTTTCCTGCGGCTGAGATGAATTGGTGGATTCAGGTGATTTACACAGTTTTATCATTATCAATGACTGGTATTGTAAAGTTAAGTATCAGCAACGTAGCAGGCACTAAGCTTGGCATCACATGTATGTTATCTTATTGAACCCACACAAAAACTGCATAAAAAGGTCTCCTCGTGCTCCTTTATTAACGAAGCGAAACAGGCTCAGAGGTTAAGTGGGTTGCCTGAAGTCATACAACTAGTGAGTGACAGAGGCAGGGTATGGAGTAAGGTCTGATGGGCTCTGGAGTCTATGTTCTGAACAATTCGGTGACATTATGTGTAGTTTTATTTCTTTTCAGTGCATTCTCACAGACTTGCTCCTAGAGATTTCGATTCTTGTCCCTTTAGTGGATGGTCCGTGTCAGAGTAATTTAGACTTTTAACGTTAGAGCCAGTGTTGGGCAAAGGGCCGAAGAGGGAGGCCACTTCGGTACCAACCAGTCCACAGGAGGGGGAAAGGAAAGATAACAGGTTATACGGCAAGGTGCTGAGAACAGGTGGCATAGGCAGCGAAGTTCAGAAAAGCAATCTATTCAGATGCTTTTAATTGCACTTTATAAAATCACAATCCAAAAATAACTTAAGAAAAAAGGATCTTTGATTTAATCAGGTCACCAAACTATGGAAAGGCCAGAGATAGGCTGTCCTCAGGAATCTCCGGAGCCAAGTACTAGAGTTCCATTGAATGCTCTCTCCAACTCTCAGCTCAGCTTCTTCATGCACGCTGGTTTCCTGCTGTCAGGCTGGCTGTCTCCACACGGCAGTAAGCAAAGCTACAAGCAGCTTATCCTTACAGCTAACTGCATGAACAGAGAGGAAAGAGAACTTACTCTTCCTAACTCTAGTGGAAAAAATTCCAGGGAAAAACTCTGATTGGCTGAGCATGGACCAGTCACTATGGCCAGGGAAGGGGAGCCCTACCATTGGGTGACTTGGATCACATGTCCCTTCTATGACCAGTAAGGCAGGTCCATTACTGTAAGAAAGGAATTAAACACACAGGTAATGGCACTACGAGGGGGATTGTGAGCTGGATTGTCACTCCAGTCTCCATTTTCCTCCTTCCTTCCTTCTTTTCCTTTCTTTTCTTTTCTTTTCTTTTCTTTTCTTTTCTTTTCTTTTCTTTTTTCTTTTTTCTCTTTTTTATTCTCTATTCTCTTCTTTCTTTCTTTCTTTCTTTTCTTTCTTTCCTTTCTTTCTTTTCCTTTCTTCCTTTCTTCCTTGCTTTCTTCCTTTCATCCTTTCTCTCTCTTTCAGGTGTAATCAACATATAACATTATATTAGTTTCAGGTGTATGACACGATGATTTAATATTTGTGTACAATGCAAAATGATCACCAATGTCTAGTTGTCATCTGTCCCCATTCAAAGCTAGAATTTTTTTCCTTGTGATAAGCTCATTTTCCATATATTCTTATTAAGAAACAAATGACAACAGATGATACTTAGAGGCAGGCTCTTTTGACTAAAAAGAACAAATGTAAGGGGGAGATAACGGAAGTTAATTAAATACCCACATGTACTACGTAATATTCCAAATGCTACATTGTAGCTCGTTTAATCTTAAGCAACACTACCAGAAACTCAGCATTTGATTCTCTCTCTTTCTCTTTTGTTTTTAAAGACTAAGCTGAGGCTCACAGAAGTTAAGCGACTTGCCCAAGATCAAAGTTAGTAAATGTGAAGTCAAGATTTGAATCCAAGTTTTTATGATCCTAATGCCTATGCTCTTTCCTCTGGGTCAGACATCTTTCAGTGCCAGAGGGACTGAGGACAGAGGGATAATACTTAGCTACAGAAATTCTGCATGTAAAAGAGAGACTTCTTCCCCAAAATGAGGCAGGGCCCTATTAATGTTATAGGTCATCTGGCCAAAGCAAAATCAAACTCATGGCAGATACATCATAGACTAAAAACCGTTTTTCATCACTTAAACACAAATTGAGGGGCATTCTACAAAATATCTGATCCATATTCCTCAAAGCTGGTCAAGGTCATCAAAAACAAGGAAAGGCTGAGATGCTGTCACAGACCAGTGGAGATTAAAGAGGCATGGCAGCTAAATTCAATCCCGGATTGAGTCTTGGAACAGAAAAAGAAAAAGACATTAATGGAAAAATTGGTGAAATCCAAATAAAGTCTGGAGTTTCACTAAAAATAATGTACCCATGTCGGTTTCTTAGCTTTGACAAATATTACCATGATAATGTAAGATGTTAATGATAGCGGACGCTGGGTGAAAGACATACAGGTGCTCTTCGCACTATCTTTACAGTTATTCTGTGAATTTAAAGTTATTCCAAAATTAAGTGTTTGTTAAAACAAAATTGTGTGTGTGTGTGTGTGTGTGTGTGTGTGTTCATTTTCCCCTGCGTAAACACATGATCAATTGTAGAGCCTGGGGCAAACCTGTAGGTGGGGGGGGAAGCTCCTGACACAAGGTGTTATAGACTGAATGTTGTATCCACCCCCAGATCCATATGTTGAAGACTTATTCCTCAATGTGCTGGTATCTGGAGGTAGTGCCTTGGGGAGGTAATTAGGTTTAGACAAGGTCATGAGGATAAGCCCCTGTGATGAGATTAGTGTCCCGATAAAAAGAGGAAGAGATCCAGAGCTCACTCGCCCCCCAGCATGTGAGGACACGGAGAAAAGGCAGCCATCTGCAAGCTAGGAAGAGAGCTCCCACCAAGAACCGAATCCACTGGCACCTTGATCTTGGACTTCACAGCCTCTGGACCTGTAAGAAATCAGTGTTTGTTGTTTAAACTATGCAGTCTGTGGTATGCTGTTATAGCAGCCTGGGAAAGACCAAGACAGAGGATGACATCCTTTGTTAAGGGTGGCAAGCTAAAGAAACGATACTTTAAAATGAAATTGCAGTAACGTGGGGGAATTGGTAATGGTTCATTTTGACTTGCATCTCACATTCCACCCAGGCAAACCTTTCTTCTGTGGTTGCTCGCAGTGCAGACTAGGATGTCGCTAAAGCTCACTTACTTCTGTGCCGTGTTTGAGTCACCAATCCGGGGTTGGACCCCAAATGGTGTTGAAACATGTGCCGCCCCTATCGAAGTTGTGCCAGCACCCCCCCTTCCCCAGCGCTCCATGTCTCAGCTTCTGTCCATGGCTTCGTTAATTCTCTGGGTTTGCAAACAGCACAGACCAAAGAGAGACTTGCTAATTTCTAATGGTGCCTGATCTCAAATGTACCATTTGGATGGCTTACTAAAAATGAAGAATGTTCTCCCCATTAGAGTCTTCGCAGATGATAAAACTACATGATCCGCTGAGAATATTATGGCTCCTCATTCCTTCCAATGGTGTCTCATTTTTCACATGTTTTCCTTAACCAGCTATAGGAGGTGGGTTAAAAAGAGAAAACAGTGTGGGTGACTTGGCTCTAATTGAGAGAAGAGTTAGGATTCTAAGCATGCGCCCAGTTGACCCTCTTTTCGGGGTAGGACAAAAGGTCTTGTGTAAAGTTTATAAATACACAGATTTCAGAGTTGAAAGTAGGGTGACTGACATTCCTGGTTTGTCCATGACAGAGGAGTTTCCAGGCATGTAAGACTTTCAGAGTGAAATTGGGATAGTTCCAGGCAAGCTGGGATGGTTGATCATCCAGATGGAAAGGACAATAAAGCAATCTTCTCAGACATAAGGCTCCAAAATATATTCTCTCCTCTGGGGGTTCTGACTAGATAAATATTCAAAGGGGTCTGTACATGGTAGATGTGTTGTCAGGAAGCAATGGGTGTCATTGACAGAGATGGATTTGGGCTGGTCATGGGGGCGGTAGGA